CATTTATTTAGCCATAAATCAAACCAGGCAACTTATCTCCTAGGTAACGGAAAGTTTGTTCTCCGTATTTAGAGTCAGGGTCTTTGTATCCCTGGCTGGCCTGGAATTCCACTAAGTAGCAAAGGAAGACCTTGAACTTCCGATCCTTCTGCCATCCCCTCCCCAGCACTGGGATTTACAAGTATGTGCCATCATCTGCAGTGTATGTGATACTGGGAATCACATCCAAGGATTCATGCATGTTAGGCAAACATGCTACCTCTGGGCCACCCACTCAGTCCATACAGGTCTTACTGTAGAGACTACCAACCACAAGTTTTGAAGAACAGAACCTCCCAGCAAATCGAGCTGTCTCAGAGCAGCCTTCCAGGTTTCGCTTCTCTTTGGCTTTTTAAATCCTTAATTTTTATTTTTAATTGTGTGGTTCTGTGCACAAGTGCAGGTGCTCCCAAGGCCAGACAAACCCAGGCAGTCGTGAGCCAGCTGACGTGGCTGTGATAACTCTGAACCCCAGTCCTTTGGAGTAGCACACGTTCTTAGCCACTGAGCCACCTCTCCAGATCCTATTTACTCTTTTGGTGTTGTCTGAGACAGGGTTTCTCTATGTAGTCCTGGCTGTACTGGAACTATGTAGACCAGGCTGGCCTCGAACTCAGATCTGTCTGCATCTGTCTCCCGAGTGCTGATGTGTGAGTCAGCATGCCTGGCTATTTGCTTCTTTTTGACACCCGATAGCCCAAGCTGGCCTGGCTTCCTATGTAGTCTGTGTAATCTTGCTTCAGTCTCCAGAGTGCTGAGATGCAGGCAGGAGCTGCCATATCTGCTTGTTAAGACAAGGTCTCAGACCCAGTGGGAAAAGGCACTTGCCTGAACAAGGCTGACAACCTGAGTTCAGTCATCAGAACCCAGGTACTAGAGTTTGAAAAAAAAAAATGTAAGAAATTTAAAAAAAATAATAAATTGAAAAATATATAATTTAAGGTATGGGTATTTTACCTGCATGAATGTCTGCACACCACATGCATGCAGTGCCTACCAGAATCAAAAGGCATCAGATTCCCTGGAACTGGAGTTACCCAGTAGTGAACTACCATGAAATGTGCTGGGTATCGAACCCAGGTCTTTTGGAAGAGGAACCATTGAGCCATCTCTTCAACCTCCAAAAATGTTTTTTTAGAAAGAAGCCTAGGAAGAGTTTGAAGAGGGAGCAGCGATACAATACCAGAAGGGTGCTAGACTTTTTTTCTATTTGAGACAGGACTTGCCTCAAACTTCCCGTGTCAAGGCTGGGATGAATTCCTGACCATCCTGCTCCGTCTCCCAAACGCTGGGTCTAAACCGCCATCCCCAGCTGAAGAATAAGCTAAAGAAAGCCTAGTGTACTGATGTCATCTGAGTGAGAAACAGACTGGAATGTTTTAAAGCAGGCATTTGGCCAGACGGTGGTGATGCACACCTTTAACCCCAGCACTCAGGAGACAGAGCCAGATGGATACCTCTGTGAGTTTGAGGTGAGCCTGAGCTACAGAGTGGGTTTCAGAACAGCCAGGGCTACACAGAGGAACCCTGTTGTAATTTGAAAAAGGGGTGCGTGAGAGAAAGATGCCATGTGACAGAGCTCAGGTAGAGGGCTTTTTATTGGGGTACAGAACTAAACAGAATTCTCAACAGAAGAATCTCAAATGGCCAAAAGACACTTAAGGAAATGTTCAACATCCTTAGCTATCAGGGAAATGCAAATCAAAACAACTCTGAGATATCATCTTAAATCTGTCAGAATGGCTAAGATCAAAAACACCAAAGATAGCTTATGCTGGAGAGGATGTGAAGTAAGGGGAACACTCATCCATTGCTGCTGGGAGTGCAAACTTTACAAAAAGTTTGGAAATCAGTATGGCGGCTTCTCAGAAAACTGGGAATCAACCTACCTCAAGATCCAGCAATACCACTCTTGGGCATATGCCCAAAAGATGCCCAATCATACTACAAGGGCATTTGTCCAACTATGTTCATAGCAGCATTATTTGTAATAGCCAGAACCTGGAAACAACCTAGATGCCCCTCAACCGAAGAATGGATAAAGAAAGTGTGGCACATCTACACATTAGAGTACTACTCAGCAGTAAAAAATAATGACATCTTGAAATTTGTATGCAAATGGATGGAATTAGAAAGCACTATCCTGAGTAAGGTAACCCAGACCCAAAAAGATGAATATGGTATGTACTCACTCATTAAGTGGATACTAGCTATAAACAAAGGATATTGAGCCTATAGTTCATGATCCTAGAGAAGCTAAGTAATAAAGTGACCCCTAAGAAAAACATATATAGACCCACCTGGAAAGTAGAAATAGACAAGATTGATCACCTGACAAAGTTGGGAGCATGGGGGTGGGGGGAGAAGGGAGGGTGGGAGGGAAAGAGGAGGGGAGAAGGGAAGGGGTGAGGAGAACATGAGGGAATGGGATAGTTGAGATGGAGGAAGCAGAGAGATCTTGATTGAGGGAGCCATTGTGGGGTTAGAAAGAAACCTGGCTCTAGAGAAATTCCCAGGAATCCACAAGGATGTCCCCAGCTAAGACCCTAAACAATAGAGGATGGGGTATCTGAACTGGTGTTTCCCTGTAGTCAGACTGATGAATATCTTAAACACCACCATAGAATCTTCATCAAGTGACTAATGGAAACAGAAGCAGAGACCCGTATCAGAGCAATGAACTGAGTTCCCCAAGTCCAGTGGAAGAGTAGAAGGAATGAGACTATGAGCAAAGAGGTCAAGACCATGATGGGCACACCCACTGAAAGAGTCCACCTGAGCTAATAGGAGCTCACCAACTCCAGCTGGACTGGGGAGGGACAAGCATAGGATCAAACTAGTCCTCTGAATGTGGGTGACAGATGCATAGCTGGAGTAGACTGCGGCAGGGCCACTGGCAGTGGCACCAGGATTTATCTCTACTGCTTGTACTGGCTCTTTGGGAACCTACTTTCTTTGGATGGATACCTTGCTCAGTCTAGATATAGTAGGGAGGGCCTTGGACCATCCCCAAAGCAATGTGCCTTATCCTCTCTGAGGATTGGATGGGGGTGGAGTAGGAGGGTGTGTGGAGGGAATAGGAGGAGAGGAAGTGGAAACTTGGATTGGTGTGTATAATGAAGGGAGATAGGTTTTTTTTTAATAAACAATTTTTAAAAAGGGAACATAGCAATTGTACACAGGAGGAGCTCTTAGTGGCTGCAGCTGAGGATGGATCCGTCAGGACCCCAAGGGCGGGCCAGTGCAGATGCCTAAAGACTAACAAACTCTGTCTCAAAAAAACCAAAAAAATAAAAAGAGGCATTTGGCTTTCACTGTTTTCTAATATATGTTTTTAAATCCTTATAGTCTGCTGTGTGCGGCGTGCTAAGGTGACTGGTGAAGTCACCACGGGAACCAACCCCATGATGACAAGACCAGACACACTCAGCCCTACCTCCACCCAGCTCACAAGGGGGACAGGGGGGGCCAGCTTTGATAAGGCAGTGGTCAACGACTGTAATCAATAGTCAACCCTGCTTATGTAATGGATTTCGTAACTCCCCCTTAAGGTCAGAGTTCTGACATCAGACAAAGAAAGCACAGAGCTCAGCCTGGTCACAATGGGGAGGGACAGCATAGCCCTTCTGGGAAAAAAGCGGTACTTAGATGGCACGTGAGAAGGGTTCAGGACCAAGAGATGCCCAGAAGGTACCAAAGTCTATGGAAACTCTACTTTTTCTTTTTTCAAGACAGGGTTTCTCTGTATATCTCTGGCTGTCCTAGAACTCACCCTGTACACCAGGCTGGCTTCAAACTCAAGAGATCCACCTGCCTCTGGCTCCCAAGTGCTGGGATTAAATGGAAGAGCATCACGCCCAGATGTGCCCTTGGCTTTTAATGGTCATTTTCTGAATCTTACCTTCAGCTTGGCTGGGAGCCAGGGGCAGGAAGCTGGCTCCAAGGCTGAGCACCTGCCCTTTGTTCATGCAGAACATTCCACCACCACCCAGGACTTTTCTGCAGTCTTTTGTCCCTTCCTTTGCCTGGTGCCAACAAACTGGTTTAAACTGTAGCTTCTGTCTGCCCGGTACACACAAGTTAAGATCCATTCTCAGGACCCCAGTTCAATTGTCTTAATGTTCTACTGCTATAAAGAGACACCATGACCACACAACTCTTATAAAAGAAAACATTTAATTGGGGGCTTACAGCTTCAGAGGTTTAGTGTGTTATCATGGTGGGACATTGTGCTTGAGAAGGAGCTGGTACAGGAAACTCTGAGTAAAGGTAGAGAGTCTTTTTTCTTTTTTAATATTTATTTATTATGTATACAGTATTCTGTGTGTATGCCTGCAGGCCAGAAGAGGGCACCAGACCTCATTACAGATGGTTGTGAGCCACCAAGTGATTGCTGGGAATTGAACTCAGGACCTCTGGAAGAGCAGGCAATGCTCTTAACCGCTGAGCCACCTCTCCCAGCCCCAGGAGCTGAGATTCTTACATCTTCACTGGCAGACAACAGGTGACCGGTCTGTTGCACTGGGTATGGCTTGAGAATATGAGATCCCAAAGCCTACCTCCACAGTGATATACTGCTCCAGCAGGGTCACACCTCCTAAGAGTGCCATTCCCTTTGGGGGTCATTGTCTTTCAAACCATCACAAGTTCCAGCAGTTCACAACTGCCCATGACTCATGACTCCAACTCCAAAGGACCCAGTGCCCTCATTTGGCCTCTTCGTACCTATGTGTACACACACATCTGGTACACTTACGCGAGTATGCATATAATGAAATAATTTTTTAAAGATTCTCGCCGGGTGGTAGTGGCACACGCCTTTAATCCCAGCACTCAGGAGGCAGAGGAAGGCAGATCTCTGTTAGTTTGAGGCCAGCCTGGTCTACTAGTTCCAGGACAGGCACCAAAGCTACAGAGAAACCTTGTCTCAAAAAACCAAAACAAACAAACAAACAAACAGATTTATTCTCGATGTTGTTTGGTTGACTTTATTACTTTGTTTTCTGTTGCTGTTTATTGTTTTTTAAGGTAGAGTTTCACTAGCTTGTCCAGGATGGCCTCAAATTCAAGTTGTTCTTATCCCCCATGAGGAGCTGAACCAACGGGACGCACCCTATGGCCAGTAAGATGAAACTTCTTGAGGTAACACTGCTTTTGTGTTTATGGGGGAAGGTCGGAAGAAGAGAGAAGTCTCTCTTTCTAAAATTACATTTATTGGGTCAGGCTTGGTGGTATAACCACGCTTTCCCCTTCCTCTTGTGGTAATTCTCTGCCTTTACGCTCAGCTCAGATGATTTTAACTCTAACCCTTAAAGTTCTTCCAAAAACATACGAGAAGGTTGGAGAGCTCCGAGTGACATGTCACATCAAGATCAGCAAGTTTTAATCCTACATGCTTAATGTGAGACACAAATCAAGGATGTCTGTTATCTTCAGAGCAGTGCATGCCAACTCTCCCTCAACTGCAGGAATGGGCTCAACCACGTGTCCTGGGAGCAGTCATAAAAATAAAAGGAGGAAACCTAGGGCCTTCTGAAGGTGCTGAGCACGTCCATGCACTGTTAGACGCTAGGGATGAGGCTGAGGATGGGACCCACCTCCTGCAGAAAGCGAAAAGGGGGGAGTGAGTGCAGGCTGCCCTGTGGAACTCGTTTACTCCTGTTTCCTAGGAAACGGTTCCCAGAAGAGATTACATCTTCAGAGACCAGTTGTACACACAGATGAACCTGGGGCAGGACTGGACCACACAGTCCATCCAACACTGCTGCCTAAGATTCCTAGCCATCAGTGTAGGGAACAGCACTTTCAATGTGAGAAGAGCAGCTTCTATGCCTCCAGCTGTGTCTGTCTCCAGAAGAGGCACCTGGCTTTCAGTCATCATCATCATCCTCAATTTGAAACCGTTTCTTCTTGTGGATTACTGGAGTCCCCAGCTCTGCTGCGGTGGAAACGACAGGTGAGAGGGAGAAAACATCTATATAAAAGGACAGGCGAACAGCAGAGTGTCTTCAGGAGGAAAGGCGGTCCCGATCAGAGCCCCTACCTGGTCCCCGCCCCTCGTCGTCCTCATCGCTGTCCAGCAGCTCCCGCTTCCTGGGCACGATCTTCCGTTCCTCCTCCGCAGGCGTCTCTTCCTCTGAAGTGGCTATAACACACAGAACTAAGGCACGAGGTCGGCATCACCCCCAAACTCCTTCCCAGCCCTCACACCCACATGAGCGGAACCAGGAGGTGAGCAGTGACATGCTACCTTCTGGGGACACCAGGCCTGCTTTCTTCTTACGGGCCGACAAGAGGGCCCTCAGGGCCTTGGCTCGGTGCTCACTGGGACTCCGCTCTCCAGGGACTCCTGGGTGGTGCTCTGGCTCCTCTCCCCTCTCCTCCTCTTTTTCTTGTTGATTCAAAGACGCTGCCATTCTGCGAAGCTGGGTGGAGCTCAGCTTGGCTGGAATCCGCCAGAAGGTTTCCTGCAGGAAGACAGCAGGTGAAGTGCGCAGAGAGGACCAGCCTCTCTGGCCACTGGACTCTCTTCTATTATTCACTGGATAAAGAGGAATAAATTGGATAATAAAATATAAAATAATAAATATGCAGAGAATGATGGAAAGAACTGTCAACCTGACTTCTTCATTTAAAAGATATATCCAGTGTCTAGCTCAGGACTCCATCATGCTCCCGGTAAACCCAGCTGTTAACAGGAAATGCAGGAAAAGATCCTGGTCACTACAAGTGAACCAGGTGGGACATAGGCTTGGAATCGATGGGAGAAGAGCAACGTGCTATAGAGCTGGATTGGGCACCAAGTAAGTATGTTTGATTCATGAGCTGGACAGCAGTAAGCCTGCTTCTCTGAGGAAGGGACACTGAGTTGACCCCTAAAGGAAGATGAACTGGCTATGTACGAACAGCCCTGGCACTCTGGTTCGGGATGACGGGAAGCAGGTGTGTGTGTGGAGTACCCATGTGAAGACGGCATGCCACCTGGAGGCTGTGACACACAGACCCACCCAGTGCTCCACACAGAGAAGGTTCGCATGGGAACTAGGGCATGGACTTAGGAAGGAAGGAGACCCAGTAAGACCTGATGCAGGGGGGCTGGAGAGCACAGACAAGACAGCAGGGAGAAGCAGGGCAATGAGGTGTGTTCTCACAGGACCAGAAATCCCTGCTGACATCGTGCCAGCTCAACTGGCTGGCCCTGAGGTCGGGGGCTGGGTCCCTAGTCTGCTGAGATCATCTTGCTTTGACACTTGCCTGCCCTGAGATGGGGGGCCGGATCCCGAGCTTGCGCAGAAGATGCTGAAACTGTGCGTTCTCCATTGCTTCCTCACTTTCCTCTGTCAGAGGCACCAAAGGGACTCCTTGGGAGCAACCTGGAGCAGGGCCACAGAGCGTGGTGAGGATGGAGGCAGGACTGGTCCTCGGCCGCAGGGGCCCGAGCAGCCCTGGTCTCCAATGCACTCACCAGCCTCTTCCCGGTCATCTGCTGCGCGAGCCAGGCAGTTCTGGAGCCACAGGAGGGGGGCGGAGAGGCCTGAGTGAAGAAGGGAAACTTGCACTTGGTCCCCACCCCCTCCTAACCCTCCACCTCTGACATCTCTCCCAACCGAAGTCCTCACCTTCCCGACACAGGCTCTGGCCAAGGTCCTCAGCAGAGAAAAACGAGCTACCCTGAACTGCTTCTGCTTCCAAGCCTTCCTCTTTCTCTTCATCTTCCTCACTCTCCTCCTCCGGCGAATGTTCTTCTTCCTCCCCAGGATCTTCCTGCCAAGAATCTTTCAGGGACTCATCTCCATTTGACTGAAATTCATTGGAAACAGAGGTAGGGTCTCAGAGGAACATTAGTGGGGCTTTGTTCCCTCTCCACCCACTGAAGGGACCTGGCCTGAATAGCCTGCAGCAGAAGGAATCCAAGAGACCCAGGCTGGAGGAGCCAGGATAGTGTTACCATGGGAACCGGGCGGTGGTGCACACCCTTAATCCCAGCACCCATAGGCAGAGGCAGGTGGATCTCTGTGAGTTCGAGGTCAGCCTGGTCTACAAATTGAGTTCCAAAACAGACTCCAAAGCTACACAGAGAAACCCTGTCTTAAAAACCCAAAAAAATGAATGGATGGATGGAAGGAAGGAAGGACAGACGGACGGACGGACAAAGGTTACCATGGAAGAGGGCTCCAACTTCTTTCTTCGTTTTTTGTATAGTTGCCGCCGCTCAGACACCAATCCCAGGGCCAGCAGTTTATCCACTATTCGAGCCCGAGAACGCTTGGCTGTGATGTTTTTCATGATACGACCAAGAACATCTGTAGAGAGAGAGCCAAAGAGAGCACGTTTGGATGCTCTAGAGCAACTGGGAAGGACTGAGCAGTAGCAATCAAAGGCCAGCTTAGGTCACTCCAAGGGACACAAATGTGGCAAGGGAGCAGAAGGGCAGGACAAAGCTTCCATAGGAGTGAGAGGCAGCGGGGAAGAGGGCAGCTTGGCTCTCAGTTCCGCGGTTCCTGAGCATCTATCTCCCCCACTCACCGTCAGAATCCCGAAACTCCTCGAAGAGCCGCTGCAGTTCCAGCTCCTGCTCCTCTGTCCACAAGACAATCCGGGTCCCCTTCCTGTTCAGGCAGGTGTCAGTGCCGGGGGAGGCTTCGGGCAAACAGGGTTCCTGACCTGCACTCCCTCCAGAGCAAGGGCCTTACCTTTGGAAGTCCTTGACACTGTCGGCCAGGCCCATCTGCACCAGATGGTGGATGACCTGCTTGCGTGTTCGAGTTCTCAGATGTGCGAGGATGGTTTCCACCACATCTTGGCCTGTGAAGGAGAAGCAACGGGGCAGTATGAAGGTGTCTGAGGGCCTAGGCTGCCCTCCTCAGGCTCTCAAGACCTCAAAGGCTCTCACCTTCCACTTCCTTATGGGCGAGGTATAGTTCCTGAAGCTGGGCCTCTTCCTCAGCGCTCCACGCAGCGGCTCTGTGGCTGAAAGACATGAATGGTGAAAGAGGAACAGGTGCACGCAGGCCATTGATTTAAAGAGACAAGTCTGAAGCTCTCCCTCATCAGCCCAGAACAAAGGGTAAAGCAGGGGACGCAAAGAGGCAGGAAGCAGAGGCCTTTGCTCTCCTGCATAATAATTCAAAGGCCAAAATCAGGAGATTTCTGATTCTGGAAGTACAGAACCTGACACTCCGAGGACAGAGAGCAAAATGGGAAAAGAAAAACCAGCCACAGCTACCACCTGCAGCCTGACTCCATGCACATTTTAAGAAAGCAGACATGGACACTCTGGGGACCACCCCACTATCATCAGTAGCCACCTGTGAAGGCTGCTGACAGAGAAGGAAACTGAAGGTGGCAGAAGACTTAGGTCCAGTCTTGTTCCTGGCTTGGGTAACCTCAGGAACAGCATTCACCTCATGGGCCTCCTCCCTCCCTTCCGAAAGGAGAAGAAACGTAAGATCACATGATGGCCGTGCCTCCCCAGCCCCTCACTCACCCACTGTCCAGGGAGCCATATCCCTGAGTCATCTCTCGAACCACCGCAGTGTTCTTCCAGAACAGCAGCTCCACAAAAGCCTTCTGGTTGACTGCAGCCAAGGCGAAGAACTTGCCAATGATGTATTTGGCAAAAGTCACCAGCTCCTGTCAGAAAGAAAAGCTACGATGGCACCCCAGCCCAAATGAATATGCAGATCTGGCCCTGTTAATCTACCTGTTCCTAGCTTGCCTCTACCTTCTCTCTGCCTCTCCTCTCTCCTCTGTCCAGCTCCCTCAACCTGCCTGCTGACCTCTTCACTGTGTGGATGAGGATCTCTCTGCCCCGACGCCTTCTTTTCTCGAGAATCACCCACACCCCACGTGTACCACTCCTTAACAGCCCCTCACTTTGTAGGCTCCAGCAGCCGGGTCACTCAACAGCCGATTAAAGAGGCAGAACAACGAGAGCTGGAAAAGCAGGGCTTCCATTCCCAGGTCATGGGCCAGCCGGTGCAGCATCTTGGCAACACAGTGGTTGGTGTGAGCGCTGTTCTGCCGGTAGCTCCGCAGCAGAAGCATGTAGGCTCGCACAATGGTTGAGCATGCAAAGCTACACCGAAACACGGAGGGAAGTTATTCAGCATCGGACAGCCAGCTCAGCCTCAGCCTCGCAGGGCCCAACAGTCCTCTCAGCCCGCACCGTTTCAGGTAGTCCAGAAAATTAAACTCTTTCTCCGACACCTGGACCACCTGCAACTCCTCTTCCTCCTCTTCCTCCTCCTCCTCCTCCTCTGCATCTCCTTCTATCGGCTCCTGCTGCCCTGAACAAAGAGTGAGTGTTACTGGGTTTCTGCCATGCTGTTGCAGGGCAAAGCTGGAAGACACAGAAAGGGAAGGAGACTCACTCGGAAGGGGCGCGTCCAGGATTTGTTTCAGCAACTGCATTTCTTCCCCTGGGGAAATGAGTGGAGAGCCAAACACGCTTCCTTCAGGCCACACCTCCCTGGAGACAGACAGACAAGGCTTTGAGCACAGGAAGCTGGAGCTGCAGTTAGGACTGGTAGGGAAAGTGTGTCCCTCTGTCAACCGAAGAGAGAGCGTGAACTGCTACCTCAGTGATGAGACGGGCTAGGGGATTTTTCTCACAAGGCATGCTGCTCTTGGAGAAGACCTGAGTTCAGCTCCCAGCACCCATATGGCAGCCATAACCATATGGAACTCCAGGTCCAGAGGATCTGAAATCCTGTTCTAGCATCCACAGACAAACAGGAACAAATGTGGTGCATAAACATACATTCAGGCAAAATGCTCACACACATAAAATAAAACAAACCTAATATACATATAGAGAAGTAGAAAGACAACTCAAGCGAGGAACATGGCAGTCATGTCTGTAGGTGTACACACAGTAGACAACTCAAGCGAGGAACACGGCAGTCATGTCTGTAGGTGTACACACAGTAGCTCTACACAGAAGACACTAAAGGTCAGTCATCAACATGCTACTCACGGCTAACTGTGGCTGGTAGAAGTACATTTATTTTTTTTTCCTTAGTTAACTGTGTTTACTAGCACTTCTAAAAACAAAATACTCAGGGAGGAGAGGTGTCTCAGTGGTTAAGAGCACTGACTGCTCTTCAGAGGACCTGGGTTCAATTCCTGGCATCCACAAGGCAGCTCAGAGCTGTCTGTAATTCCCGTTCCAGGGAATATGACCCCCACGGCAAAACACCAATGCATATAAAATAAGGCCTCCCCAAGGCTTCCCTATTCCCTCAGAGCCCAGGAAGATTCTTACCGGGCAGACCGCAGGAGGGCCAGGGCTTGTGGCGCCTGGCCAGCCAGAAGGCAGTCTTGGATCTTCACCATGGCGTCGACCCGCTGCTCTTCCACTGGCACCTCTGAGGCCGCATCAAAGGGAACAACGGAGTCTACACTGAGCTCAGGGTCCTAGAGACAGACACCGCCATGGGAGCAGCGCTGGAGGAAGCCCAGGCTGTCTCCAAGAGTACCGTCCGCACAAAGGATAGGTCTTCTCTAACTACCGACCTGGGCACACCGCAGCAGCTGTTCTTCCAGGGCTGGCCACATGGCCTCCAGCTCCTCAGGACCATGCGAGACGTTACCAGAAGCAACACCTTGGTCTTGAACCTTCTTTTTCTTTTTTCTCTTTTTCCTTTTGTTCTAAGGGGAAAGAACTGTTTGGTAAGAGCAGAAGAGCCACAGAAGTCTCTACCCCTCAGTGTTAGAGAAGTGGAACACAGGCAGAGGACACGGGGCAGTAGACCTGACGACTACAGACCCAGTGCTGGAGGAACAGAACTGATGCCACGTTTGCCTTTGACCTTCACGTATGTGCCATGGCACATGCTCCACCCCCCTCCCCCACAAATAAATAAATGTAAAGGACAAAGCACATAGAAAGAGAGCCTGGAACTTTTCCTTTTTGAAGACCAGGAGTGTGAGTCAACACCTGAATTTTGCATTCTGCTCCTGAGAGTCATGGCTGTGAATGGCCCACTGCATGGATAACACGAGAGTCACGGCTGTGAACGGCCCACTGTACAGGTAATGTGAGTCACGGCTGTGAACGGCCCACTGCACAGGTAATGTGAGTCACGGCTGTGAATGGCCCACTGCACAGGTAATGTGAGTCACGGCTGTGAACGGGCCACTGTACAGAACAACGCAAATGAGCTTTAGCATAGCAGCAGCTACACAGACAACACCGAGCAAAGGACAAACTACCAATGCTCTGAGTCCAGAGTGCAAAAATTACTTCTGGCAAAGTCGTCTTCATTCTTTTGCCTTTCAAGTACAGCTCTGGCAAGCATTTTTTTTAAAAAGAGATTTATTTTTATTTTATATGTCTGAGTACTCTGTCAGCATGTATGTATGTACACCCCATGTGTGCAGCATCTGCAGAAGTCTGAAGAGAACATGAGTAACCCCATGAACTAGAGTTATAGAGCACTGTGAGCTTCCTTGTGTGTCCAGGAACTGAACCTGGGTCCTCTGCAAGTCCAGACAGTGCTCTTGGCCACTGAGTCATCTTTCCAGCCTTAATTTCTTTAATATTTATGTGCATGAGTTTTTCTCTATTGTATATGTCTTGTTATCATATATGTATATAGACAGCATATATCTCTAGTGCCCTGTAGGGTGCTGGGTACCCTGGAACTGAAGTTACAAATGGTTGTGAGCCTGCACATGGCCCTGGGAACCAAGCCTTGGTCTTCTGCAATGACTGCAAGTTCTCTTAATCGCTGAGCCACATCTGTAGCTCAGTTCTGACACTTTATGATTTATTTTTATTTTATGTTCATTGGTGTTTTGCCTGCATGTATGTCTGTGTGAGTGTGCCAGATGCTCTGGAACTGGAGTTACACACAGGTGTGAGCTTCCATGTGGGTGCTGGGAATTGAACCCAGGTTCTCTGGAAGAGCAGCCAGTGATCTCTCTTAACCACTGAGCCATCTTTCCAGTCCTAGTTCTGACTTTATTTTATTCTGTGTGTGTGTGTGTGTGTGTGTGTGTGTGTGTGAGAGAGAGAGAGAGAGAGAGAGAGAGAGAGAGAGAGAGAATAAAAGGGAAAGACAGACAGACATATGGAAGTCAGAGGACACCTTGGAGAAACTGGTTCTCTCCTATCATGAGTCCGAGGGCTCTAACGCCGGGCACCAGGCTTGGCAGTAGGTGCCTTTCCCTGCTGAGCGGTCTTACCAGTCCCAGACAAAAACTTTTTAAAAAGCAAACATGTTTACTAGGCTGAATCTCTGTGCATCTAAGACAGAGATCCACTGGAGATTTTGTTGACTTTCTGTCTTTGACTTTTCATCTACTAATCAGTTTTGGACACAATTTCAATTTAGGAACCTAGAGATTGACATAGGTTGTTTGAGTGTATTCTAACTGAAATTAATAGAGGACTAGCCTGGCCAGGTGGTGGTGGTGCATGCCTTTAATCCCAGCACTTGGGAGGCAGAGGCAGATCTCTGTCAGTTGGGGAGCCAGGCTGGTCTACAAAGTGAGTTTCAGGACAGTCAGGGCTACACAGTGAAACCCTGTCTTGAAACCCCCCTCCAAAAAAAGAGAGGACTAGCCTGACGTACTTGTGTTGTGTTGTGTGTGTGTGTGTGTGTGTGTGTGTGAACGAACCTGTATGCATGAATGCACGGCCAGCAGAAGTTGGTGTCTTTCACTGTGCCTTCTACCTTCCCTTTTGAAATAGGTTAAAATGAACCTAACGGGCAACTCCATACTGACAATACCCTGAGCCTCTGGCCTTTAGTTTAGAATAGTCCTAGGAGGTCATCGTCAGCTGTAGAAAACGTGAGGAGACCTGTTCTTCACCCTCCCCATAGCTCCTCCCACACCCTGCAGCTGCCCAGTACCTGCACCATAAGGTTCCCACGGCTCCTACAGAACCGCTCCAACATCTTGAGGAAGAGATGTGTGGTTTCCACCAGGTCACGAAGGAATGAACGTGGGTGGTACCTCTCATCGAATTTCCGGAAGAGCGCCAGGAAGAGCTCTCGATACTCCATCACATAGAAGATGTTGTCTAGGAGTGGAGACCAGAAGGAATGAGAGGGATTGGGAAAGGGGAGATGACGCCAGGACATGGAAGGATGAGACTCCAGTTAAGAAGTGGGAAGGCCTCACTTTTGATGATGCGGCTGCTCTCTCTCACAGCCTCGTCTGGGGACATGTCCATCTCATTCACAGTGGCCAGGAGCTCCTGATAGGCCTTTAGAGCCAGATGCATCCTGACAAAGTGGGGGGCAACAGGTAAGACGGAGGCAACATAAGGCTTTGGCAAAGGTAAATGACAACCCCCTCCCCAAATGAGAAGACCCACCGGTCCCTGCATTAGCCTGACCACCTCAGTCTTGAAATAGGAAAAAGACTATGCACGATTCTGGTGGTCAGACTCCCAGTAGGCTAAGGTGTCCACTGTGATCCCCAATGGCCTTCCCACTGACCGGCGTGCCCAGGACGCAGCCTCCTTGCGGTCAGTCAGCATCATCTCATAGTAGTTGGTGAGGTTCTGCTCCACGAAGTGGAAGGTACGGACACTGAGGGTCTCGGAGACAAAGCCAGGGCGGAAGGAGGCAGTTCGGTTGAAGGCCATAAAGAACGCTAAAGCCCACATGTAGTAGGTCTCATCATGCTGCTGGGCTCGCTCCCGAAGCAGGTGATCCTAACAAAGAGACCAAGTGACCTCAGGGCTTCTAACTCCCTCCCAGCTGTTCTTGCCTGAGATGAGGGTTTGGACCCTGGACACCAACACAGTGTTTCCTAGGATCCACAATTTCCAGTTTCCTCTTGTTTGCCTCAGCTCTGTTCCTTTCTCCTCCCTTTCCTCTGGGGAAATTGCTCCAGAGCCTTGTTTTTAGAGAGAATTCATTTTATTTTGTAATTCACATGTCTCTGTGTGGGTGTGTACAGAGTGCCAGTCCACGGAAGCCAGAAGAGGGCATCAGCCCTTCTGAAGCCGCAGCTCCAGGCAGCACCGAGCGACCTGATCTGGGATGCCGCTCTCTGCAGGAGCAGCAGTGCTCTTAGCCAGGGAACCATCCAGTCCCACTGAGAACTTTTCAGTCATGCGAATAATATTCATTCTGCCATTCGTCAGGCCCACCCCCTCCGCAGTCCACACAAGCGCAGCCTTCCACGGGCCCCTCGGCAGGCTGTCCTCCTTGCCCACCACTGACCACATCACCCCTCTGCTCTACCCCTAACTGCCTAGACGTCCTTCCGGGCTCTCACCTTGACTGCACCCATGAGTGGGTTGTAACAGTTCTCCAGGAACTCAGAGCAGAAGTCCCTGAGGAAGAGTCTCACGTTGAGGGCAGAGCGGCGATGAACGGCCAGCTCCTGGGCGGCCTGGCGACGCTTCGGCACCCTCCGGGGCTGCTTCCCCAGGTCTGAACTGTAGTTTCGGAGCTGACGGTATGGGTTGCACCATTAGAGTAAGTTCTGACCGCCCCACCCCTTGCAGTTCTTTCTACAGGCACCGGCCTGAAGTTTTCTTGGGAGAAACGCCTAGAAGGATGTCTGCCTCTGGTATTGGTGATGGCACCAGGGGAGACAACACAATCAACACCAGAACCTCTACTGTGGTCACCAATCTCTGAGCTGGAGGACAGAACCTTCCTCAGGTTCTGCAACTCCAATGTTTCTGCCTTGTACTTATGCGTACTCACATTGTGAAGGCCTTTGTGAAAGATGACGTCCCTCTCCCCAATGGACTTCAGCCCCTTGACAATGTAGGAGCCCCCAAATCGAGAGTGCCTTCAAGGAAAAAAAAAAGGTTCCAAAATGAATCCTCAGTTCCCTCAAAGTTGTTAGGCAACTCTCTCTGTCAACAGCTTTGTGAGAGTTCGTTTAAAATATTATTAACCAGCCCCAGCCTCAAGCCGTCCATGTTGGTGTTTGCTGCTGTGTCCCAGGGCACAGCAGAGCACGCCGCCACCCACCTGTTGCCTCGCTGGAGGGCTCGAGTTCTCTTCTCCGCCATCTCCCGCTGGCGCAGAACCTCCAGTTCCGCCACATCTGTGCTTCGCTCCTGAGCCAAGCGTCCCTGCCCTACTCCCGCTAGCTGTTCAGGGATCTGGATTGGGAACGAGGAAGAAGAATCAGAATCAGGACATGTGTTTCTTAAGCCTTAGCTCACCACGGACGGACACACATAACTGTTGACAGGCCTCGGACGGAAGACAGTCCGGGCACCAACTACCTGCCTCCTCAGGTAATTCCCCATTATGACCAGAGCAACAGGCCAGGTGACAGAAAGCACAGGGACGGAGGGAGCGGAGAGTGCGCAGGGCTCACCTGGTCTCGGAACATGAGGGAAACAATCTCCAGCACGTGCAGACTCCACTGTTGCTCGGCAGAGGAGCTGGCCAGGAAGAGGAGCAGGTCGTCCATGCCGCTGAGATGGATCGCCCACAGAAGCCGGTCATGGATGCTGGCATCGTCATCGATCCTCTGAGTCAGCGGAGAGGGAGGAAGGACACGCTCAGCTCCATGACTGCCCCCAAAGTCCCCAACGCAGAAGACAGAAAAACCTGGAAGTGGGGAGTTCACCCTAAACAGCACAAGAACTCAGGAGTCCCCAGACCCTCACCTTCTCCTGCTCAAGATCAGCTGGGACATGGAGAATATTTCTGACCAACAGCAGGATCCGTTCAATCAGCAAGTTGTCTTCTTCCTGCCGATTCTCCCAGTCCTGAGCAAAAAGAGAAAAAAAAAAAAAAAAAAGGTACACACAGACACATACACATACACTAAAACTAAATCAATTTCTAAAAACAAAAAGAAAAGCCAGGAATGGTGGCACATGACTTTAACCCCAGCACTCAGGAGGCAGAGGCAGGAGAAGGATCTCTGAGTTCCAGGCCAGCCAGGGCTACAAAGTGAGACTGTCTCAAAACAAACAAATAGTAAATAAATATAATAAAATAAAATAATAAGAGAGTGAACCAAGCCCAGAGGTACAGGTCTGTAATCCCAGCTTCTCAGGAGACTGGGGCAAAATGACTGCAAGTTCAAAGCCTGCCCCGGTTACAGAGTGAGTTCAAGGCTATCCTGGGCAGTATAGCGGGACCGCACCTCAAAAATGAGAAAGAAAAGAAGCTAGGGATCTATTTCAGTGGTAGATTCAATCCCCAGTACTGTGGGGTAGGGGGCAGAGGATGGTAGTACACGGCTATAATCCTAGCACTCAGGAGGAAGAGGTAGGAGGACCATGAGTTCAAAACCAGCTTCAGCTACATGGCGAAGTAGTGAACTGAAGTGTGAAGCCAGCATGGGCTACAGGAGGCTCAATCTCAACAGGCGGGGCGTGGGGCTGGTGAACCGGCTCAGCAGTTAAGAGCACAGAGGACCAGTAGTCGGCTCCCAGCACCCACATGGCAGTTCCCAACCATCCACAGCTACAGTTCCCGGGGCTCCCATGCCCCTTCTGACCTCCGAGGGCACCCGACACACATACATACGTGCCAGCATAACATACATACATATAAAATAAACTTTAAAAAAGAAAAAAGAGTAAGGAAGCAAAGAAAGTGATATGTGTGTGTGTGTGCACGCGCGCGAGCCCGCACAGCAGTCCCCAGGAAGCTACAAACTCCAGAGTGGACTACTGTATCACTAAGGGCTGAGGACCTTCCCCGGCATAGTGCCTTCCTCTGCCTGGGGAGGTGAAGGCATACTCTCCTGTGGGAAGAGCAGGGCGAAGACTCACTCACCAGCTGCAGCAGCTCATACAAGGTTTCACTGAGGACTCCAAAAGCCTTCTCACTGGCAAAGGCCTGTTGAACAGGGAACAGTTGCTTGGTAGTTCCTAGCTTCCCCGTCATCCCTCTCCATCCTCGGACCGAGCGTCTCTGGAGAAAGGCTCCTCACCTCTTTGTAGGCCTGCAGGTAACTTAGAACCTGCAGGAAATGGTGCCGCACACTGGGGTCCTTAGGCACGCTGCCAAAACAGAGCAAGGCTGGCTGAGTCAAATTCACCATCAGCCTGGGAGACAAGGAAGGAAGAAAGAATTAGGTTTCCTTGCCAACAGATGTTGCACTTGGCAGAAGTGAAAAGGCCAAGGAAGGAACCTGATAACAGCATCGAAGAGGGGCTTGTCGCCGCGGTGCTGGGTGAGGATGGGCAGGAGGTCACTCTGCAGGATCTGTGCAGCCCCCAGTTGCTGCCGCACGTCTCTCGTCTCGTCCTCATGCCTCAAGTAGCGGATCAGATCCTTCACACTCTCTTCAGAGAGAATAAAACACCCGCCTGTGACCCCAGGTCACAGAAGAAGCTGCCCCCGCCCATTCACTCTTCATCCGCACAGCCTGAGGAATTCACCAGACCTCAATCAATGGCGTTTTCCACCCGATTCCTCAAAAGAGCGCTTACCTAAGCAATCTGGCTCCTTGTGATAGGTGTCCCCTTCCAAGTACCCAAGGGCACTACACGTGGCTAGAAGTTCACAGTTCATCATGGACAAGTTCAGACACCAGAGACCTAACTACGAGGAGGTCGGGCGGTCCAGACAGGAGATGAAATGGCGAGGCCTGTGGTAACAAAGGAGAGGGCACAGGGGCCCCGTGTGGTGAGGAGAAGAGACAAGCGAGGGCTCAACACTCAAGAATATTCTGGGCTTCACTTTTGTCAGAACTAAAAGTAATGCTCCCAGGCCTAGGGAAAACAAATTGTTTTAATCTTTTTTCCCCTTTTTGGTTTTTTGAGACAGGGTTTCTCTATGTAGTCCTGGCTGTATTGGAAAGTGCTCTGAAGACCAGGCTGGCCTCGAAGTCACAGAGATCCACCTGCCTCTGCCTCCCAAGTAGCAGGAAAACAAATTTTTTACTAATCAATTGTGGTACTTGGTATCAAACTCAGGGAGGTCCCTGTGCATGGTAGGCGAAGCTTCTCTGTATTAAAAACGAAAGGAAGTTCAGTGTATGAATTAAGACCTGGCCCACACTAGTGCCAGATCCTGAAACCAGAGAAACATGTTTCAGAGTTAAGACAGCCCAGCAGGAAAAAGGAAGACTGGCTCTGAGACCTTCACCTCAGAGAGCTCTGCTCTTGGGAGGAGTCAGACTGAGCCTTTGCCTTCCACAGTTCTTCCTCAAGTGGCCCTAGTCCGGATGTACCACAGGAGTTAAGAGTCCTAGCTATGGACTGGCGAGATGGCTCAGCAGGGAAGGGTGCTTGACACCAAGGCTGAGCACCTGAGCACTATCCAGGGCCCCACACGGTAGGAGAGACTGATGCCTGCAAACTGTCCTCTGACCTCGACATGTCCCCTCCCTCCAAAAAAGGAAAATCCACTCCCAACCACACACTGATTACAAGATTTGTGTATATAGGGGCTGGAGAGATGGCTCAGTGGTTAAGAGCATTGCCTGCTCTTCCAAAGGTCCTGAGTTCAATTCCCAGCAACCACATGGTGGCTCACAACCATCTGTAATGAGGTCTGGTGCCCTCTTCTGGCCTGCAGACATACACACAGACGGAATATTGTATACATAATAAATAAATACATACATACATAAATAAATATTTTTAAAAAAAGATTTGTGTATATAGTGGGTAGGAGTTCACAGGTGTGTATGTGTGTGTGTGTGTATATATATATATGTATATATATATATATATGCTCATGTGTGTATGTGTGTGGAGGCCAGGGGTCAACCTCAGGAGCCTCCACCTCATCATTTTGAGACAAGGCCTCTCACTGGGATTGGGGGCTTGCTGATCGGGCAAGGATGGCCAGCCAGTGAGCCCTAGGGATCCTCCTGTCTCTGCCTCCTCAGCGCTGAAATTATAATCACAAAGCACTAAGCCTGGCTTTTAATGTGGTGTTGAGGCTTGAAGGTCATTGTGCTTGTACAACACTTCCATCAGCTGAGCTGCCTCCAGCCCCTAGGAGAAACTGATACCTCATAGGGTCTCCTCGGCTTCTGAGGCACTGAGATCTGTAAGAAAGTTCCTCGCACAATTCTAGTAGACCAGAAAGGAAAGGCAGCAAGCGAGGACGATAAACCTAAATCCCTCCACGGCCCCAGCTGCAGCACTTTCCTGTGTTTATTCATCCAGGTCTCTGCACCCTCTCTAGGTAGCCATGTGGGCACAACCCAGACTCCTAAGTGACTCAGAACCTGACAGTAACACCCCAGATGCACAAAACACCCTCTACTGTCTACCCACTCCTGGGGGAGATCAGGAATCTTCATCAGTCTTGCCCCCTAGGCACCTTCGGCTGCACCTCATTCTGCTGTTCAAAGCAGCTTCTAAAAAGACCTTTCCTGGCTGTGGTCCCTAGCTCTGCATCCTGACTTCAGCCCGACCAAAAGCCCAGGACGTAATGATCAATGCTACCTCTCTACACTTAGGTAAATTACATAACTGGCCCACTTCTTCACCTTGCCTGCTGTCCCACTACTCCCCGCCCTTACACACACATACACACACACACACCCCAGACCAAAGGCCTCCCCCATCTGTCCTGCCTAAGGACTGACCTAAGAAACTTGCCAAACAAGATGAAAGAGCTACCTCAGTTGAAGAACACCGCATGTTCAACACCTAGTGTTGCACTACAATAAAATATAAAACACAGAAACCCTATTTGTTTATGACTTTTTTTAATTTGTTTTTGAGACAGTCACTCTATGTATTCCTGGCTGTGCTGGAACTCACTACTGTAGACCAGGCTGGCCTCAATCTCAGAGATCCTCCTGCCTCTGCTGGGATTAAAGGTGTGCTCCACCACACCTGGTTATAGGGCTATTTGAATCACGTGTCACCATGAAGGGCTGACATTCCAGGCAGTGGCTGTAACCCAGTTTCCATTCAAAATGACTGCGAGGGATGGGAATGGCAGTCCTGGCTCTCTGACATAGCCCTGCCTTCCCTCATCTGCAGGAATCCTTTCTTCTCTTTCTCTTTTACCAAATGTTTTTGCAAACCAACAAATGCCAAATGGCTCAGCAGGTAAAAAACCCTTTTCACATAAGCTCAAAGACCTGAGTTCAGACGGCAAGACGCAGTAGTGGCCATCCATCTGCCCATAAGATTCTTCTACGCCCGGATTAAGCAGTGCAAACAAGAGAGACCACACCTTGGACTGGAAGATGAGAATGACTTCTCAGAGCTGTCATAAACTTAAGAAACAGGGGTGGACGGCAGGGACAGAAAAACTAACGCTCACCCTGCTTTTCCTTACAAGCTAGAGGCAAGGGCATTGTTCCCTCTCTTCATGCCAACCCACATGGCTTAGAACCGTGGCTCGATTTCTTTCCCTGGCTGTTAGGACCCTCACCTAGGAATATAAACATATATGTTCCAACACACAAAACTCCTCTCATGGTGCATTCCCTCCATCTTGGAGGCTTCTTCTTCCACTTTTATTTCCCAAGTTCCAAGCCCACATGACCTTCAAGATTCAGTTCAGATACCACTCCCCCAATGAGTCTTTCCCTGACCACCTGCAGGACGGGTATGTAATCCTTAGTCCAACGCCTATGTCCAGTCTTACACTGGATTATCCAGGACAATTCTGTCTTCCTCTACGTCGATCACCATCTTCTATAGAATCCACTAAACTCAGTAGCTTTTACGCGGGAGATACGCATTAAAGACTGCGGAATGCAACCATGCACTAAAACACTGTGAGGTCAGAAGATGGCATCAGAACCGTGGCTCACTGCATGTTGCAGACCTGCCCACCCTCTACCAAATCCGTCTCAGTTTGGGCCTCTGAAAAAGAAAGGGTACTGTCACAGTCATGGGGTGGTCTGCTCAGATTGCTCTTCAAGGAAGTTGGTGCTGGGACCGGAGAGATGACTCCACGGTTAAGAAAACCAGCTGCTCTTCCAGAGGACCTGGTTTCAATTCCCAGTTCCCACATGGCAGCTCACAGGAGAGCAAGTGCCTCTACAGACAACTGCATAAACACATGTAATTAAAAGTAAAATCTTTGGAGCCAGGCGGTGGCGCACGCCTTTAAACCCAGCACTCGGGAGGCAGAGGCAGGTGGATCTCTGTAAGTTCGAGGCCAGCCTGGTCTACAGAGCGGGTTTCAGGACAGTTAGAACTGTCACACAGAGAAACCCTACCTCAAAAAAAAAAAAAAGCAAAATCTTTGTGGGAGGAATTCAAGTTCATGCTGGGGACACAGCTCAGCTGTAAACCCTGGGGCCACGTGCAGACTTCTACCTCCTGGCATTTACATTTTGTGTACATAATAAAGCAGATTGTTTAATACGGCTGACTCCCTTCACTAGCTTTAGAGTTTGTGAGGACAAGGATTGTTTCTTTTTTTTTTTTTGGTTTTTCGAGACAGGGTTTCTCTGCAGTTTTGGAGCCTGTCCTGGAACTAGCTCTTGTAGACCAGGCTGGCCTCGAACTCACAGAGATCCTCCTGCCTCTGCCTCCCGAGTGGATTAAAGGTGTGCGCCACCATCGCCCGGTCTCAAGGATTGTTTCTAACCATCATGAATTTTTCTGAGTATGGTTATTGACTTCCAGGGAGTGGAGCCTGGGCAGTGTCCTGATAATGCTACTGAGGGACGCTCAGGGGATGGAGTTCAGCTGGCTGCCGAGAATGCAGGAAGCCCTGGGTTCCACTTCTGTCACTGCTTACACTGGGTGTAGGGGGCATCTGTGACCCCAGCACTTGGGGGCCTAGGGCAGAGACCAGTGTGGGCAACTCAGGGGGTCTGTCCCTTTAACTAAGGCAGGGGAGTTAGGATGTAGTGTCAAGGCTTGGTGTGCACGGGCCTTTGGTTCAGCTCTCACTGTGGGAAGATGAGAAAGGAAGGGAAATGTTCTCAGGTGCCTCTGATTCACCTCAGCTGACAGCTGCACTGACCTTTGACCCAGCAATAAAGTATGTGCATGCTTGATAAATGTCGTTTCCTAGACCAAAGCAGACAGTGAGCACAGTGAGGACTTAGGGAGGACTCCAGGGCAGGGGCTCTCATCCCTCAACACCTGGCACTCAGTGTCATGCCCGCGGTATCATTAGGAGCTCAGCACTTTGTTAAGAGTCACCGCTAATAGACAAAGGTACGATAAACGTCAGGAACACAGAGAGACTGAGAGGCTAGCCTGGTCTACACAGAGATTTCAGGCCAGCCAGGACTGTCATGTTACACGTCAATTTGTAGGAGTATGTTCTCTCCTTCTACCATGTGGGCTCGGGGGATGGCACCCAGTTCTGCAGGCACAACCAGCCCAACTGGCTGAGCCATCAAGTATGAAACGGAGACCCTGTCTTTTAAAAAGCAGGGCTGGGGAGAGTGACCAGCCTGGAAGTCTGGATAACTTGAATTGCTGGATCTTAGGGCAGCCACACTTACGCCTCAGAGACATGTTCACCTGGCAGAGAAGTGAGAGAACTTCCCAGGAAAGGGAGTTCAGGAACCTTGAGGCAGGAAAAAAAAAAACGAAAAGCAGATCCTTTCCCTGAGGTTGGTAGTCAAATGGGATGAGTAAAATGGAGTTTCAAAGTAAATGTAAAACGACAGGCATGTGCTTGCTTTTGTCCCCAAAAGAAGGTTCTAAACCGGGCAGTGGTGGTGCATGTCTTTAATCCCAGCACTCGGGAGGCAGAGACAGACGGATCTCTGTGTGTTTGAGGCCAGCCCGGTCTACAAGAGCTAGTTCCAGGCCGGCTCCAAAGCCACAGAGAAACCCTGTCTCGAAAAAAACAAACAAACAAACAAATAAATAAATAAATAAATAAAAGTAAGTATGGTTCTAGTGACAGCATCAAAGATAAAGAAATGACACTCCCGGAAAGAAGTTTAATTCATGGCTCTTATTCTAGCTGACATCCCCAATATAGAGGTCGTATCCTCCTACCAAATCGGGGGCGGGGTGTGTGTGTGTGTGTGTGTGTGTGTGTGTGTGGAGGTGAAGAGACTTAAACTCTGTCTATAAAAACCCTAAAGTCAACTCCTGACGGCCTCTGAATGAGTCCTCGGGTCAGGACTGGATGGCGAGCTGCAAAGTGGCTGCAAAGTGGCAATCCCCGGGAGTCTCCTGCTCTGCTTCCGGAACTCTTGGGCTCACAACCCCATGCCTAGCCGAGGTCCAAAGGCTTGCACAGAGACGCGGACTCGAGGCTCCGGCGCTGCAAGCCCTCCGGGTAGCAGCCTCCGAACGCGCATGCGCTCTGGGAGCCCCGCCCCCGCCCCCCCCTCGCCTTTAAACCTCGCGGCGGGAATCGCGGCCTCGACGACGTGGTCGCACACAGCCCCGCAGCCTCGGAGCTGCCCGAGTAGGTCCTGGATCCTCTCGACACACTCACCTGCTCTCCATGAGTTTCCCGGAGCCTCGGACAACCGGCGGCCCTGAGGTGCGGGGCCGCAGACTTTCCCGCCACTCGGCTGGGAGCGACCGGTCTGCGCCTGCGCGGGGGTGGGCCGGGGCGGGGCGGGGCGGGGCGAGCGGGGCAGATCCACCTGACTCCGGGCGAGGGGAGAGGGGTAATTGGTGATGAAATAAGAAGGTAAACGAATAAGGATTGTTTTATCTGAGTCGAACATCTGCACTGAATTAAAAACCAAAACGCTATGGATTTTCTACTGAATTATAATATTAATGCAGGTCGAATTAAAGTAGAATTTACAGACATTCTTCCCCTTCCAGCCTGGTGGACTATTCCAAAGTCTTAGATAGCTAGTTAGAAAAGTTGTGTTTTATTTGGAAGTGTGGAGTTGTGTTTTATTCGCTAGAGTTAGGGTTGTCTGTCTTACTATAGGCGTACGTTTTAAAGCTTGCGAAGTGTATACAGGAGGCTCAGAATAGAAAGATCTGCATAAATATTCGTTGTTCGGTTCAGGGTCACCTGCGCCCCTGCTGAGACGTTGCAATTTCACCAACAATACAAGATAGGGCTCAAAAAGTCATCTCCGTAATTAAGCATTGCTAGAGGAGACCGCTGTCTGGGGCGTGGGGAGGGTAGCTGGGAGAAAGGGAAAGACATACAAAGAGGAAAGACAGCGGAGCTAGTGAGGGGAGCCCGAAGACGCCATCTGCAAATTTCGGTTTGCACTAAATAATCTCCATCTTACCCCCTCAAAAGTAAATTTGCTTCAGACAGATTTCCTGTTTTAGCCTCAGTCAACAATTCTGGGGCTTCAGTACCATTTGCAAAGAGCTATTAGGCGGGCCTTTTAAACCACTTCATTTTTCTAGACTCTAGGCTTTCCCAAGCCCTATATTGGTTGGAAGGTCCCTGGTCCAAGGCCTCTGAATGAACACGCAACCCAGCCAGTAGATGTAGACAGGTTTATGCAGTTCTACAGGACAATTCAAGCCCATATTTCCTTTTCTCAGAGCCCCCTCCGCCCCGGTCTCTGGGGCAAGTATCCCTGAGATAAGTAGGCTATATTCTCCCATAAAACGCCTCAAAACTTTCAGGTACACTTGCCCAGTGATCTGGAAATAAAATCTCCAATTCTCCCACCCACCTCCCTGAATCCACCCTCCCAATCCCTGGAATGCCTTGCCTTCCCCTTCCGGTCTGTCTGCTTCCTGAGAGGAGTGACAACCCCCCCCCCACCATCCTTCATTCTTCCATACACTTGACTGGAAGCAGGGAAGCAGGGTAAAGGCCAGAAACTTAAGGTTTCAGATTCTCCGTGCTCATCAAACTGGGCTGGGGGAGAGACATAACATGCTGACGCCTCTTTTCCCTTCCCTAGCTTTTGTGTTCCCAAACTCAGACACCGCCAAACGCACCTACATTCATATGAACAGTCACACACACACACACACACACACACACACACACACACACACACACGGCGAAGGTGGTTGGGTTGGGGAGGAAGGGAGTTTGCACCAACTAGATCGTGAATGCAACTTGAAAGATTTCACACAGCAAAAGAAAAAAAATTAAAAACACACATAAGTTAAAAAATAAAGAAGTACATGCCCCTCCCCACAGTCTCTTTCTTCATCCGAGGGCTGGGTTGGCCCCTCCTTGAAACCCAGCCATGTTCCTTCTACTCCTCTCTCTAACAGGATCCTTCACAGAGCCTGAGTCTTCAGTTCCACAGGCTCCCCGGTACCCTCGGGCTGTCCATTGGAGTCACTGGGTCTGGCTCCCTTGAGGATAGACAGTCTCTCAGAAACACTCTTGAGCCGGGGGAAGAGGAGAAAATCATAGAGGAGGCTGCCCAGGCCCCCTCCGATGATCGGGCCCACCCAGTAGACCTGGGGGAAGAAAGAAGGCTTGTTCAGGCTTTGGGGGCTCTTGGGAAACCAGACTTCCTGCAAGGGTCCCACACAATGGGACGTTGTCCAAGTGGAAGTAAATGCAGGGTTTTGTGGCTGCTGTAGCTGGGCCTCTGTGAGTGGAACATGTGTTCTAGCACTGAACAAGCATTCTGGACTCCGTGGGGCTGGAGAGATGGCTCAGTGGTTGGTTAAGAGTACTTGCTACTCCTGTACAGGACCTGTGATCAAGTCCCCACATGGTAGCTCCCAGTCATCTATAACTCCAGTTCTCAGGGATCTGAATACTCCCTTTGGCCTCTGAGGGCACACAAGCATACATGCAGAATTCCTATATACATTAAAAAAATAAAATATAGCTTGGCGTGGTGGTGATCACCTTTAACTAAGGAGGCAAAGGCTAGTGGGTCTCTGGGAGTTCAATACCAGCCTATTCTACAAAGCAGTCAAGGTTACCTAGTGAGACCTGCTCACAAACAACAGCAATAAAAATAAAACAAAAATAAATAATACTATTTTTAGAACTATCTAGACTCTACTATGCATCAAAACCTGTTGTTTTCTTCTCAGTCGCTAACCATTTCCTTTTTTGTTTTTTTTTTCCTGTTTTTTTAAGAGATTGGTTTCTCTGTGTAACAGCTCTGGCTATCCTGGAACTTGTTTTGTAGACCAGGCTGGCCTCAGACTCACAGAGATCCGCCTGTCTCTGCCTCCCGAGTGCTGGAATTAAAGGTGTTCGCCACCCCCACCCAGTCATTTTCTTTTCTTATTCCTCTGTTTTACCTATACCTCCTTATCACACATTATTCTATTTGTTGTTATTTTGAGGTAGTTTATATATTTCTTGGAAAAAAATTGTAAATGTGGTAAATGCCCTTTATAACATAAAATTTACCTTACCAAATATTGTCTGTTTATTTATTTTTTGCTTTTATTGTTTGCCAAATACAGGATCTCATTGACCCCAAGGTGACCTCAAACTGGCCTGTGGAGCTGAAAATTACCATGAATTCCTATCCTCTGGTCCCCCCCAAAAATGACCAGCAGACACCACTGTCCTAGTTTATTCAGTGATGGGGAATAAACTTGGCTTTGTACTTACCAGGCAGATAATATAACAACCGAGCCACATCCCCAGAACTGTTTTCTGTTTGGTTGGGTGGTTGGTTTTGAGTTTTGTTTATTTGTTTTATTTTGGTTTTTTGAGATGGGGTTTCTCTGTAGCTTTGGAGCCTGTCCTGGAACTCACTCTGTAGCCCAGGCTGGCCTTGAACTCACAGAGATCTGCCTGCCTCTGCCTCCTGAGTGCTGGGATATCAGCGTGCACACCAGGCTCTGCAGAACTGCTTGCTTTTGAGTCAGGGCCTCACTCTGTAACCCAAACTGGTGTCAATGTCAATGTGTAATCCAGCCTCGTCTGAAACTCAGTCAGTTCTCCTAAGTTGTCCTACTAAGTGCTATGATTAGCACAATCTAATTCCTGCTTATTTACATTTTTGAGTGTGTGACTCCATAGTATTAAATATATTAGCATTGTCATGTAACTCACTTCCAGGATTTTTGAGTTTGTAAAAATAAAACTATATAGCCATTAAAGTGCCTGACTCCACCCCAGCCCCTGACAGTCACCCTTCTATCCCTATTTCTAGCAATTTGTGTTTCTTTTTTCTTCCTTTCTTCTTTCCCCCCCTTGCTCGCTTCCTCCACCCCTTCTCCTCCCTTTGGTGTCATGTAGCACAGGCTGGCCCTGAACTGCCGTGTAGTCTAGGATGATCTCAGACTCCTGATCCTCTTGCATGCACCTCCTGCGTGCTGGAAATGCAGCTTTGCGCCGCCATGTTGGCTTACCTGAATGAATGTGGATATTCTACCTGCTGTAAGTAGAATTATATAAGAATTATCTTTTAGTGACGGGCAATTTCACTTAGCATAATGTCCCTGAGGTTTATCTTATAGCTTATTAGAACTTCCATAGGCCACTTGACTTTTCCACTTCTCCAGCAAGGGGAATTAGGGCTGCTTCCACCTCTTAGCTGTTGTGATTAATGCTGCTGTGGAAACGGCTGTACGTCTTGGCAGATTCTTTTGAGCTGTTTCCTTGTCTATCTTGCATATGCCCAAAACAACAAGAGCATTACGCTATTTATTGAAGATTACTCCATGCCAGAATATGTGCCAGCTGCTTCACAGATAACTGTCAATTCATTTGTTTTATGTAATTCTCTGTGGCTGATAAACAGAGGCAAAGAATGAGTTATTTGTCAGAATCACGTACGAGACCAATACAGTCGAACTGAGGTGCTACTGGGCCTGTGAGCGTACATTCTGGTTTCTGGAACCCGGAGTTTTTGTCTTAGATGTAACTGGCAATCCAATAGCCTCTAGTTCTTGAATCAGGTGGATACTCAGTTTAAAAGCCCCGCCAAAAGAAGACCTGTACAGTAAGAGCCTCCTGTCTGTTTGTTTCAGACAAACATCCATGCTAGCTCCAACTTCCTGGGCTCAAGTACTTCTGCATCAGCCTCCCAAGCACTGGAACTACAGGCATGTTTCACCACACCCAGCTAAGAGTTTTTCTTCTTGACAAAATAATGCAATGTGCACATGCAAGCATGCCAAGGTCCCTGACAGCCTCCTTAGCTGCGTGCTGGCAGAGCAGCCAACACATCCTAGTGGAATGCAACCTGCAGTCCGGCCCTCCAAAAGTGCTCTATGCTCTTGCTCTTACCCTGTACTCTTACTTACCCAGTGGTTGCTGAAGTTCCGGGTGAGGATGGCAGGAGCAAAGGAGCGGGCAGGATTCATCCCTGCGCCAGTGTAATATATCTGCAAGAGACACAGCTGGAGCTAAGACAGCATCCCAGCCTCCCAGTTTCTCTCTCTACAGCCCACATGGGGCAAGACCAGTTTCAAAACTCTCCACAGTAGATAATGGCGCTGGAATTCCATCCGGGGACGGACTTATGGACCCAGGACCACCCAGTTCTACCCACGGTGTGTGCATTTCCATCCTGGAGTCAAGAAAGATTTGACGTAGTAGTTAAAGGAAATTGATCCCTTGTGCCAATTGATAATGAAAAAGTGAATAATAATCATGATTAAAGGCATACTCATGATTAAAGGCAGAGTGGGGAAGAAAGAATCCTTACGGGTTTCTAATGCTTTGGGACCCTAGAATCCTTGAGTAAGACATTTTCTACCGCTCTTGCTTACCCCAAAGAGGTGCCCCAGGGTGAGGGAGAAGCCAACAGCCAAGGCCACAGAGCCCATGCGGCCATTCCGCCTCTCGTCATACGTCGCGAAGATGCAGAGCACAAACTGAAGCGTCAGGAAGATCTCCACGGTGGTGGCCTGGCCCACACTTACCCCAGCGTGCAGCTGACCAAGGGGAGAAAGGAGGCGATTGTTAGCACCGCCCTGCTGTGGGCACCTCACAGTCCGCTCCTGCAGCTCGGCCCCCCAGGACAGGAAGGCTACGTGTCTCTACCTTAGATTTTCCTAACAGTGCTTCTTTGTTGCTGGGTGGAAATGACTGCACTGGCTTACATGGCAGGGAAACCGAGGCACTCTAAGTCTCCTTAAGAACCTACCTGGACCGAGAGCTGGGGATGCAGCTCATTTGGTATGACTTGCCCAGCATGCCTGAGGCCCTGGGTTCCATTCCCAGTACCACATAAAACGGATGTGTTTTGGGCATGCCTGTAATCTTAGCACTTTAGAGGGTAGAGGCAGGAGGACTCTCTTTGGCTGCATAGAAAAGCCAAGACTAGCTCTCCCCGCTCACAGCAACAACAAAAGAACCTAATAGAGTTGGAATAAAAGCTAAAATATGAACTCAGCATTGGAGGGGGGGGCAGAGGTTCGAGGAGACAGGGTTTCTCTGCAGCTTTGGAGCCTGTTCTGAAACTCGTTCTGTAGACCAGGCTGGCCTCCAACTCACAGAGATCCACCTGACTGCCTCCCAAGTGCTGGGATTAAGGGCGTCTGCCACCACCGCCCAGTTTGAACTCAACTTTCTTGATCCTTCATAGAGGCCTCTGTACTTTTCTTCTTTCCCCTCCTAAGCACTCATTGGTCCTACACACACACACACACACACCACACACACACGTCTATGTACACACATAAGCAAACATATAAGGGCAACAATCCAGACACCGTGATCCCGCCCACCCCCACCCCTTAGCCACCCCTTAGCCACCCCTTACCGAGTTGAGTGCTAGGTTTCCTCGGACAGCTGGCGGGGTGACGCTGTACAGCACAGCTGCTCCGGCCACAGCTCCCAGAAGTTGAGCTGCCACATAGCAGAAGGCACGGAGCAAGGACATCTGGGAGCCCACAAGAAAGGCAAACGTGACCGCAGGATTGACGTGGGCTCCGCTGATGTGACCCACAGTCTGCACCAATGTAGCCAGGGCCAGGCCAAAGGCCAAAGCCACTTGCAGGACATGTATGGGTCCAGGGGCCCAACGCAGGGAGGCTCCCAGCCCAAAGAAGACATAGAAGAGGGTGGCAAAGAACTCAGCAAATATAGCCCTCCAAAAGGAGGCAGACCGAAGTTCCCACATGGCAATGGGGGGAGGGCACAGTGCCTGGGTCCCTAATAACCCCCTGGACTTGCCTGGGTAGACAGTCCCCTTTATAGAGGACTCTTAATCCCTGGGAGGGGCAGGTTGGGGTAACTGGCTCTGCCTCTTAACCCCTTCCTGGCTGTGGATGTCTGAATCCATTCCCAAACATCTGATGGAGTAGCTGGATTTGCCTTTCTGTCCTCATCTGGAGCATGAGCCAGGGAGTCAGGGAGCCAGGAGCCAAGAGTATGGGGTTCTTGGATGGAGAACTGGAATAGTCTGTCTGTGTGAAAGTTGGGGTTCACCGTCCTGATTGACATCTGGCTTAGAACATTCCTCAGATTTCTTGGAAGGTAGTCAGGTTGAGTTCACATCACAGGATATGGGCTGGCTCGCTCCTGGGTGGTCTCAGGCTCCTCTGACTCTGTCAGGGTTAAGGGTGGGGGTAGGGATAAGGAGTAGGGTACAGCAGGGAAATTGAATAACTGAAGAGAATTCTTTAGTTCCCTAGGATTAGAGGGCCTTCTCCCATTGGCTGGTTGGGACAGGAATCTGTGGACCCTGCAGCTCTGGAACAGAATAGTTCTGCTGTGTCTGGCTTTCTCAGAGCCCCGGGTTCCCTATGCCAGCACCTCCCTTTCCAAACCCTCAGCCTGCCCTTCTAAAGCAGAGAGGAAGAGTATAAACTGGGAGTGGGGTTGGGGATTCGAGAGGGGGAAAGAGGTCAGTTGTGTTTCTGTCGTTCTGCAATATCCAGTTTGAGGTTGGATGAGGAAAGGGCTCTAAGTACCAAGCAGCAGGAGATGCTGAAGTCACAGGTGCTCTGAGGGGCCGATGGAGGAGAAACAGCATCCTCCGATTCTCTAATGTTCCTGGAGCATCTCAAGTCTTCTGACTTCAGGTCCTTTGTTTCATCTCACCCAGTGACACCCCTGGATCCCGGTCACCTCTGTCAAACCCAGAAACACAGGGTTTGGGCTGCTTCCAGAAAACATCCTCAGACAAAAGCAAGTGTAATCACATCAGGGATAAGAGAGACCTTAGTCACATGCCGGGGTGGGTATGGGCGAGGACACAAAGCCACAGAAATAGTTTCAAAGCTAGAGTGTAAAGACAGACCTTTGATACACAATGCAGCACCGTGTGCAAAGAATGAACAGATACATATTTTCTGACCCAAGGATTGCACTTACCTATCCAAGAGAAACTCTTCTATACACATACCAGCAGACATGTCCAAGAACAGCTGTTCACAGTCACAAAACAGCAAAAGCAACTGGCACGATTGGTGAGCCCCCTTCTCCACCTCTGGTCATTTCCTATGTGTGAGGACTTGTCTCTCGAGCATGGTTTCTCACCTTTTGGCCTCACCAAGTCCTGGTACCAGGCAAACACCACAGCCCAGCTCTCTAGGGCTCAGAGCCCTCAGCCCCTATTCTTTGCATGACAACGCACAAGACAGCCTGTGCCTACTAATCCAATCCTCTCTGAATTCCTGGGACGCTAGCAACTGCAAACCCTTGGATCTTACTTCTCTGCCTCACTCATGGGAACTGCGTCCACCTTTGCAGTCAGACCTGGTCTCAATACCCCTTAGATATTAATCCAAATGGCTGCTTTCTTTTTTGCTGATGGCTTTGCCTTCCTTTCGGTACCAACAATTGGGTCTCTGGCAGGGCTACCCGCCTCTGACTATTCTCCTGGATATAAGGCTTCATTTCTCGAGCACAGTCTTCTCTTTGCCTTCTGGCTTTTCTCCTGGTACCAGGTATCTCTCTCTGGCTCAGAGCCCTTGGTCCCTGTTCTTGCATGACGACATACTGAACAGCTTGTGCCCACTCCATCTGATCCTCCCTGGATCCCTGGGAAACCAGCATATTCAGGCCTTTGGATCTTCTTTCTCTACCTCTTCTCGTTGAGACCAATCAATCCTCCTCTGCCTTATCCTTGGGAACTGTGATGCACCTTCTCACTCCTATTGGGGTGTCCTTTGGAGACCCACTGACCATCACTCCTTTCTAAGGAAATCTGACCTCAGTATTTCTTGAATCAGACAGTCGGGGAACCGAGAAAGAATTCTCTACCTTTTTTTTTTTTTTGAGACAGGGTTTCTCTGTAGCTTTGGAGCCTGTCCTAGAACTAGCTCTTGTAGTCCAGGCTGGCCTCGAACTCACAGAGATCTGCCTGCCTCTGCCTCCCAAGTCCTGGGATTAAAGGCGTGCGCCACCACCACCCGGATTCTACTTTCTTTTTTATTGCTCCAAAACCTACTTGGGTCTGTCTGCTCTCCCTCTCTGAATGTCCTGTCTAGGTTTGCTGCAATGTGGGAGTCAGAGATGGAGACAGTCCTCAGGAAAGATAGAACAAATTAACCGCTCCTTATAAAACACCCTTGTTAGAATGTCACAGGAACTTCACCTCAACTGGGACCCTGCTCCCTTAAGCCTCAGAGGACACCCAGATTAACGGCCTTGTCCCCAGTTCCAGAAGAATGAAGCTTCACCCCACCGCTGCGCTCAACTCTACTGGACTGGGAACACCATATGGAAGTGGATGCTTTCCTTCCTGACCCCTCTCCTGGTCCTCCTATCTTTAACAACCACACCCTGCTTCGTCAATGTCTTCTCTCTGTATCATCAACAATACATTCAAAAATCTCTGATCAAACAACTAATTAGCCATTGTTGCAGGACTCCCAACTGTTAGCCAGAGAGTTGGAGGGGCAAGATGACCAAGCATGTCCAGGTGGTGAGGACCAACAGCACCCCACAGGTATCTACTCCCCCCAGATTCAGAAAAGACTCAGAACAGATTTTGATGTAACTCTTTACTATTCCTTTATTTAAAAGGTACTGACCCTACAGTGACTGCCTTCAGTAGTCAACCGCCTGTGTTTCCTGGTAATTGTATAAAATGGGGGTGTCCAGGTGATGCCTTGGTACTGGGAGAGGGTCAGGTGCTTTAAGGTTTGCTTATTTGCTACAAAACCCTCCCCTCTTTATCCCTTGTCAGATGTCAGCAGTAACCCAGATATAATGGCTCACATCTGCCATCACAACACTTCAGAGGTTGAGGCTGGAGGCTAAGGAGTGTGAGACCAGCCTGGGTTACATATAAATTTGAGACCTGCCTGGACTATAAATGAAACCTTGTTTCAAAAAACAAACAGACAAAAAAATGATCTTAAAGCCAGGTGATGATGGCGCATGCCTTTAATCCCAGCACTCGGGAGGCAGAAGTAAGCAGATCTCTGTGAGTTTGAGGCCAGCCTGGTCTACAAGAGCTAGTTCCAGGACAGTTAGGGTTGTTACACAGAGAAACCCTGTCTCGAAAAAAAAAAAAAAGTTTTTAATCCCAAGGATAACTGAACCCCAGGCCCTTTCTTTCCTCACGACATTTCTCATTGATTTTAATGCCAGCGTCTTTCAAACATAGCTGGAGAGGCCCGGGAGGTGACTCAGTGGGTTAAGTTGCTTGTCACCAAACCTGATTTGATTCCTGAGTTTGATCTCTTAGCCCACATAGTGGAAGGAGAGAATCAGTTCTCTCAGGTTGTTCACTAACCTCCACACTTGTACCTTGGCCACATACACAATAAGTAATAAATAAACTTAACTAAACAAAACTCTAACTGGAGATAAGTTCACAAAAGTGACTTAAATTTTACATATATTGACATATAATTTGCGTATTGGTTGATTTCTACTAGTTTAGCTTGTTTTTGTTTATTTTTGAGACGGGACCCCACTGTACAGTCCAGACTGGCCTTGAACTTACAATCTTCCTACCTCAGGCTCTGAGTAGCTGGGATTTTCAGATGCATTCCACTACACCAAGCATTAGCCCAGACTTAAAAAAAAAATAAGAACAAAAAACTGAAAGCAAGCTGTGCTTCTCTTGAGAAGTGACCTGACCTTGCCTAAGTACTTGCTTGGTGCAGACAGGAACTCGTACCATTGTTGCTGATCCAGCCATCAGGGAACCCCTCTGCAGGTTCACGTGCTTCCCCATCACTGCTGGAAGCCACAGGGAGCATGACAAATGCCAGCTGGGACATGTGCAAAAGCTCCACGCTCAGAGCCAGGTCTTCTGTGGACTTCCTGCTCACCTGGGAGACGAGGGCTGGGAGGACCCAACATTCCCCTTGCTGCCTGCAAGTTCCACCGTCTGCCCGCGCTATGGCTTGAGTAAGAGTCACTATGTTAAGGGACCTGCTTCCCAGGGTGGTGCCACGGGGAGGTGGTGGGGCTCAGAGGAAGTTGTCCTTGTCTGAGGTCTTCAGGTCAGGGAGGACGGCCCTCAAATGGGGCTTCCCCACACTGGTTCCTTCTTCCTTCTCCTCTCTTGCTGTGCCTCCTGGCTTCTGATGTCACACATGCTCTGCCTCGCACTTTCACTGACAGATGCCTGCACTCCCTGGAGGCCCTAATCCACAGAGTCACCCGAGTGCGAGCTGGGATCGTTAGAAACACGAGCAAAAAGTAAAACTTTTCTCTTCACATGACAGTTGTCTTGATGTTGTTTCTTAGGACAGGCAGTTGACTGATGCAACCCACCTAGGGAGCTTTTGGAGACAGCTCTAAAGCAAGTCACCTCCCCCCCCGTTCTGAGCTGGGTAGCCTAACACAACGACATAACTGCCTCACAGTACATGGGGCTTACTGAGATGGTGACTGAGCAGCAATCTTCTCTGACTTGCTTATTCCTTAAAGTCTACTAGCCAACTAACCTCAGTCCCCACGCAATGTCACCGTCCTACTGGCTGCAGCCACCGAGAGCAGTGTTAGGGGTAAAGTCCAGGAGGCTCTTGTGCGCGGCTCGGAACAAGGCATCCCCTGAACAGGTCATGTGGTGGCCACAGACCTACAGCAGAGCCACAGCTGGACTTCCCCATCCTGACTGACCTCGCCAAACATCTGGGCCAGGCTCACCAGCAGCAGCCCTCAAAGCCAGGGCTGGCTACACAGGACAAGAGACTTGTGCCAGCATGGCGCTCCCACTGGGGCATGTAGCCTCAAGGATTGCCTTCACGATGGATCAGCGTGTGGAGGTGTTTGCCTCCAAGCCTGATGACCTGGGTTTGATCCCTGAAGCCCATCTGGTAGAGAAAGGGAAGTGACTCCAGTAAACTGTCCACTGACCTCCAGTGCTATGGTCTGTACCTTCCCCATTATTTATTTGTTTATTCATTTATTCACTTACTTATTTTTCGAGACAGGGCTTCTCTGTGTAACAGACCTACCTGTTCTGGAACTCACTCTGTAGACTGGGCTGGCCTCAAACTCACAGAGATCCGCCTGCCTCTGCCTCCCAAGAGCTGGGATTAAAGGTGTGCGTCACCACTGCCCAGCCCCCATTGTTCCTTTTAAATAATATAAAAAATAAATAAATGAAAACTAAACCGAAC